GGTTATCCACAGTCACTTTCTTGGTTCACCACGATGCCAGTCACTTAACTCTATCGTACGATTAACTAGCTTACAGAAGCCACTAACTATCGCGGGGTATAAGGTTACCGCACAAAACACGCCCGGAGTTTCTAGGTCAAAGGTCACTACCGTTTCGCGTGGCAACAGTTCTAAATACCGAGGCCGCACTAGCTTATATTGTCGAATGCACTTATACAGATTCTAAGTCGGACCCAATAAGTCCCGGGAAAGGCTATCCAAACAGGGAATGCGCGTTATAATTCCTAGACAGGATATTTACTAGACGCCCTAACTATTCCGCGGTTCCCGCACAAAATTAACAGCGTGCAAACATTAGCACATCTGGCAGATGACTCACTCGCTTGCGACCCGCGCGCCACTGTGACGCTCGGAAGAACTTCAGACCGGAATCGCGCCGAGCCGAGGGACATCTGGTGTCGATTCCGACAACAGAGTTTTGCGCGAACAACACCTATTATGATTCTACAATAAAACAATTAATTACTATAATATTATAAAACAATAGCCCAATACCATGTAGTACTTTAGAACGCGACTGTACCCACACTCACTCCGCTGTCGACCTGTATCTAGCTCGGTATGAAACAATACTGCGGTCATAAGAAAAAAGGGCGCATCTAACAATTTTCGAATAAATGAGTTAAATATACCATTCGACTCATGATAAGAAGACGCATCTACTAAATTTTTTTAATATTCACTAATATCAATATTTTAGAAATTATCGTCAGAATTTTAGACGTAGCTGTTGATCACAGATGACATTTTATTAGTAGAAAAGACTTATACAAATTCAACATAAAAGAAAAGACTTATTTAACCAGTTGCTACGTCATCTTTAGCAATATTTGCATCGAATACTTAAATTTAAATTATTCTTGTCTTATTATTTTATATCTTATTATTAAGAGCTTATATCTTATTATTAAGAGCTGGTGTTTCACATGTGGTCCCATATAAATTTGATCGAGGTCAGACCAATAGTTTTTGAGTTATCCTTAATTATTTATATTAAAGTCGGTTGTACAAATGTTTTAATTTTTAATTATTATCGTAGTAAGTCTTGTATGATATCCCCTTTAAAATCATTACTCAAGAGTTGCGGGTTGTTATTTTTTGTGTCTCACTACCAATGCTTTTCTAATATTTACTAAGAAAAAAGTAGTAAATTACTATTAGCGTCCTCTCAACTTCAAATGACCTTTCCAAAATATGTAAAAATGTTAAATGAATGGTAGTTTTGTTTTATTTATTAGGTTGGGAAGACCCAAATAGTTATATGCGTCTTTCCTTCGATGTTTTTGTGTTGCCAGGTGTATTTATTAATCTAAGATGAAAAGGAAAATTCGTTTTATTTAAATAAATAAACAAATTTAAAAAAAAATAAGTTCGTCCTTAAAATCTTCATGTCTCTACGTATATATTTCAATATAGATACCTTTTAATATACTTTAGACACGGGGTCTGAAAGAAAAATTCATCAATTTATTTTTTATTTCCATTTTACGTTTTTGTTAGTTACTTCCTTTTTTATTATGACGGCAGAATGCCTAACCCTGTCGCCTCACGCTTGTGACGCAGTAGGTTTCAACCTTGACGGGGTTCGTTCGTTTTAGTTTTTGAGACAGTTCCGTGTTGATTTTGTACACGCGTGCGCGAGCGACAGTTCAATCGTTTTGTTTAATAAATTTACTTGTGATTACGTGTTGATATTAAAGTTTTTGTTACGTTTTTGGATTCTTTTTTGTTTTAATAATGCCTAACGCGTACGTTTATAGTGGTTATTATACTGCCGTTGGTTATTATATCAGCAACAACGTGTGCCTGGTTCCATTGAGCACATTATCTGGACGGATGAGTCGACATTTACCAGAAACGGCCTGTGGAACCGAAGAAATACACACGTGTATTTCAGAGGTTAACCCGCACGCTGTTCGACAAACCGGGCACCAAACCCGATGGTCGGTTAACGTATGGACAGGTTTATTTAAGGATCGCATACTGGGACCAGTGTTTCTGCCAGAGCGACTGAACGGACAGCGATACCTAAACTTTATAAATGAACAGTTGGTTGACATTTTAAACGACCTATCGTTGGCTGAATATCGCCGCACATAGTTCCAACATGATGGTGCCCCTCCACATTTCGTGAGGTTCGTCCGTGAGCGCCTCAATGAGCTATTTGATGATCGCTGGATCGGCAGACTAGGACCACACGCTTGCCCACCTCGCTCACCAGATCTGACTCCGTTAGACTTCTTTTTGTGGGGTATGTGAAAGAAAGGGTTTTTAATCGTGAATGTGATAGTGCTGAAGAAATGCGCCAAAGGATCGTGGATGCTTTCGAGAAACTACGTACGGACTGTGTCGAAGACCACACGATGATGCCCCGCCTGCACCCAAGTCTGCCTTGAAATGAATGGAGCACAATTTGAGCCGCATCTCATAAGACCACGGAGGATTTAGAGCAGTAAGCTGTTTCATAACTATTTTTTTTTAAATAACTTAGTACTAGACTAATCTGAATAGGTACATAACTGAATACACGAGAATAATAAACATACCTACACGATGAATAAAAACGCATGACTCCAACCTTGGTTACATGTCATTTAAGTATTTCTTCATTAGCGGGGAATCGAACCAGTTATTTGGGTTATTTAACCTGTAAATTCGGATTAAAGTGGCTACGTGGAGATAAGCACAGTGGCAAAATAGTAGGTTAAGTAGATAAGTTAGGTATTTAGACACGTGTTGTAAATTATTAGGTATTGTGGGAAGGCCCGCTAGTTGCGGGCCGCGCGAATTTGTGTTCGCGCGTACATTGACCTTTATCTAGCTCAGGTCAGGTGATATCAATTCAGTCATTCCACTGCTGGTTTTATGTTTCAGTATTTTCATGATATTTTTTATGAAATTATCGTTTCATTTAGCTGTACTAACATGATGGCGCGTGAATAAAGCTAATAAAACCTTGTAAAAAGATGATTTTTTTTTCATCAGGATCGAATTTATTTGTGACCCATGATCAAAGGTATACTTGGTGTTGTCGCCTGTCTTAGTTTTCGGGAGCGTTCCAAAAACACCCTGTATATATATATATATATATATATATATATATATATATATATATATATATATATATATATATATATATATATATAATTTTTTAATAAAAAAATGTCTCGTTCAGTTTCTTGCTGATTCTTCAGCACAAAGATTTGTTCCGAAATAGTGCTAAAAGCATAAATTATTTTCAATGTACAGGCTGTCCAGTGGCAGATTTCAAACTTTGAACAGACTTAATTTTCGAACGCAACGTAGGAGAACGGCGCGGAGGGGGTTATTCGACGTGCAAGCGATGCGGATTTTTTAGTAGCCATGGATCCGTGGAGTGGAGAGCACCGCGCTTTTGTCGTCGAGGTGTACTTTTCGAGTGGATTTTCGCTGTCTGAAGCCCGTCGTCGATTTAATAATCACTACGGTATTCGTCGAGTTCGTGATGGACCATCAATCAACCTGATTCAGTCTTGGGTAGCAAGGTTTAGAGCAACGGGATCAACAATAAATAGACCCAGACCAGGACCAACATCAACGGTAGCCACGGACGAAAATGTGGTGTTATGGCTTCTGTGATTGAAAATCCTCGTTTATCACTTCGAGCACGTTCATCGATTTTGGGTATTAGTAAATCAACTTTACAGGTAATAATGCGAAAAAAACTTAAATTACATCCTTATAAGATCCAAATCGTCCAAGATTTACTCGAATCTGACTTTGAATTAAGGAAAACTTAAGCAGAGACGATGTTGTTGAGATTTAAAACTGCTACTCGGATGGGTAACATATTCTTCAGTGACGAAGCCCATTTCCATATCGGAGGATATGTAAATAAACAAAATTTTCGTTATTGGGATATTTCCAACCCGAGAAAATTGCATGAAGAGCCTTTACACAAACCAAAAGTCACAGTATGGTGTGCAATATCTGCGTCTGCCATAATAGGGCCTTATTTCTTCGAAAATGAACGTGGCCAAACTGTAACAGTAAATTCCGAGAGATATGCTGAGATGATCAGTGATTTTTTTAGACTAGAATTACAGAATAGTCCATACTGTAACCGGAATACGTGGTTCCAGCAAGATGGGGCCACAGCTCACACTGCTAATGTGGCCATGAGTGCAGTGCGAGAGTTGTTTCCCGAAAAAATCATATCCCGGAACGGCACCATACCGTGGCCTCCCAGGTCACCAGACCTAAGTCCGTGTGACTTTTTCTTATGGGGATACTTAAAATCTATCGTTTACAAAACAAATCCGACCACTGTGACACAGCTGAAAGAAAACATTCGAGCAGAAATCAGCAAGATTCCCCAGTCGCTTTGTAAAAGAGTTTTCGAAAACATGCGTTCCAGACTCGAGGAGTGTGTTAGGGTCGATGGCCGCCATTTAGAAAACGTTGTTTTCAAAAAATAAAATCCGCCTTTATGTTCTTTATATTTTAATAAAAATACTTTGCATAAAACGTGTCGTTCTTTTTTTATAATTTTTCAAACTTTGAAATCTGCCACTGGACAGCCTGTAGTATATATGAGATAAAAAATATTCTATTCTATTCTTTTCTTGTTTTGAACCAAAATAAAGTATTTCGTTGTTAAGACATGAAAAAAGTTTTCAAAATTGAAGCAACAAAAAAGATTTGCCCTGCGCTATAAAACTCTCAAGTGTTACCATTATTTAGTCATCAAAAAAAAATTGGATTCTCTTACGCGGCTATTATACAGCATTATTTAGTAGTAGTATATATTTTTTCTAATATTTGTAAATTAAGGAATAAATTACAACATCCCCTCCGCAAGTAGTAAATTGGGACAGTAAATTTTGAGTTCACCAGCGTGAGACTGATCTATTAAACTAACTTAAAATTTTGTTTTTGTGTATTAATGCTAAACATTTTACCTGCAAATAACATTTTAGAAGCGTTGTATCAATTAACTCGAGCTGTTGCGTTACGTTCCTATGACTGGTCGCATCATCCTTACTTCCACCCGCATCGGTATTAGTCTTCCCGATCTTAGACCTCAGTTCAACGAGATAATCTATTAAAGCGTTCAGAGCGTTTTCCAAATCCTTGCCCTTCAACTTCTTTTGGTCTTCGGTACCAGGCTTATTGTCCAGTTCCGGGAATAGTTTGATGACATCCGCCGGATCGGTGTTTAGTTGTATGAACACTTTCATGGACTGCGCGTATTTCTTATCGTCGAACAAATCGAGCGCACATAGCATTTGTATGGAATGTATCGTCTGCTTCTTTTCCTCTGGAGAACAGTCTGAAAGTAGCTGAAATTATAGATACGTTAATGAAATTATAGATACGTTAATGAAATTATAGATACGTTAATGAAATAATAGTGTGGACGACATTTAACAGCGATTATATCGGAATTTTAATCCTGCTTGAACAGATGGTTAGTATCGAGTTTGAGATGGTTAACATCAGGTGGAACCTTAGATTAATTTTTACTAAGTCAAATAAGTGGCAATAGCCCGTCCATATAGCTTGAAGAACCGACAACCGATGGGGAAGAAAGGTTCTCGAATAGCAGCCTCGTACCCGCGGACGAAGTATAGGGCGTCCCCCCACTAGATGGAGTAACGAACTGGTAAGACATGCAGGAAGTCGATGGATGCAGGTGGCTCAGGACCGCGCTTTCTGACATTCCTTGGGGGAGACCTCACATCAGCAGTGGACTTGTGAAGGGCTGTAATGATGATGATAAAGAATTCAAATAAGATTAAAAAAGAGGTAAACCTTGACATTAGAGAAAAGAACCAAAAATATTTATAATACGAGGGGTGATCCAAAAGTAATGATAATCGGTTACTTCAGGTCCGCATAAAAATCCAAAAAAAAAATCTTTTGCTTGCTTATATACTCACTACGTCAGCCTAAAAAATCATATAAATAGACCACGATTTCCGGGAGATACATTCATTTGAATACGAACTGTCAAAGAGATAACATCAGCATGGAGAAAAACGAAATTAGAGCTATCATCAAGTACCTCTGTTTGAAAAAAATGTCTTCAAAAGACATACACAGTGAAGTGGAAACATTGGGGGACTCTGCTCCTCCATATTTTACAGTTGCACGCTGGGCTAAGGAGTTTAAACTGGGCAGAACATCCACTGAAGATGAACATCGCGAAGGACGCCCATCCACGTCACTCACTGAAGACAACGTGAAAAAAGTCGAAGATGTTGTGTTGGCAGATCGAAGAGTGACCATCAGGCATGTAGCTGAGGTCACAGGGATCTCATATGGCAGCGTTCAAAAAATCCTTGCGAAGGAGTTGCATATGAAAAATGTCTCTGCGCGTTGGGTACCGAGAATGTTAACCGACAAGCAAAAGAAAAATCGAGTTGACATTTCGAGGGTCAATCTCGAAAAGTTCCAAGCAGATCAAGAAAATTTTTTGTTCCGTTTTGTGACTATGGACGAGACCTGGATCCACCATTTTGATCCTGAAACGAAACAACAATCGATGACTTGGAAGCGAGCCTCCTCACCGACGCCAAAGAAATTCAAAGTTTCTAGTTCGGCGGGAAAGGTTATGGCATCTGTTTTTTGGGACGCTCAAGGCATAATTATGTTGGAATATTTAGAAAAGGGAGCCACTATTACGGGCTCTTACTACGCAGACCAAATAAGAAGATTACAGGAGGCCACTAAGGAAAAAAGACGCGGCAAACTGCGAGCTGGAGTGCTGTTTCACCAAGACAACGCACCGGCTCACAAAGCCGCAATTGCGATGGCTGCCATTCAAGAAACGGGATTCGAACTGCTCGAACACCCTCCTTATTCGCCAGATCTAGCTCCTAGTGATTTCTACCTCTTTCCTCGGCTCAAGGAACGCCTCCGGAGCAAGAAATTCGAAGACGATAGCGAAGTAATGGCCGCTGTTGAAGCGTTTTGGGAGGGTCAAGACAAAGAATTTTTTTCAAAGGGAATCCTGGGTTTAGAAAAAAGATGGACTAAATGCATTGATTTGTTAGGAGACTATGTAGAAAAATAAATTATTATTTTAACTTTAATTGCCGTGTTTTATTTTCATTATCATTACTTTTGGATCACCCCTCGTACATGTCTAGTCTCATAGAACATCGTGCAAGCGAGTCAAGGTTCAAATATCCCAGGTCAAAGATAGCAATAACGGTTTTCTTAAATTTATTGTTTTCTTCGTTTCATGAAACTTGCATTTATTAGAATGAATGCGACTTTTAACACAAAATGCCATGATTATAGTAATATATCTTCACTTCATTATTTTTAATTTATTGTTAAGCTGTGCAGTTGCGGTGTAAGAATATCCACTACCTCATATCGTCCTGTGGGTATCGTAATAGGCAACAGGGGGAAATAAGCTAGGTGACGGTCTGTGCCAACCTACCTGCCAATCGTGGCAACTATGGCAAATATTGAATAATTTATATATGAGGCAAACTATACAGGAGACCAATGTTTAGTTTGTTAGGCTGTACGTAACAGTAATGGTAAACAATGTTTTGTCAATAAATTTACATAGAAATGTTATAATATTACTTACAGTAAGAAGTTGAGCTATTTTAGCCTTCCGTTTTTTTAACTGAGTACGAAACATTTTAATAAAAATTATCACTGTTAAATTAACACTAATTTTTTACTTAACGTTCGTACGTACGAGATTATACTGACATCTACATACGGTGGTAAAACTAGTTACTTTTTTATCTAAGCTTAATCAATTAATTTACATACATGTTGTTATCACGCAGGACAATTAATTAAAAACATGCCGTATATTTTTCTGATTAGTAAGGGGTACTTAGATCAAACTTCTAAAATTGAAATTTTTTATCCATAAAATAAATAACTATAATCTTAATACCGCCTACCTACGACTAAAACTATCAAAATAATAGTCATGCTATCACCATAATCAAATCACATCAAATTACGACTTCATTGCTGAATTTGATCAAGAATTTAAAAAATGATGAGATGAAAATTCATGTGCTTTAAAATCCTATTAAGGTAAGTAGGATGGGAGTTTTCATGAAACACTATTTTAGGATTTTGAATTTCGAACGTTTTAAAGTAACTTCGATCAAAATAAATTTAAACGAATTAATGGTTTTCCTAAATATATATATATATATATATTGCATGTCTTGAAATACCAGTATCACTAATGCTATGGCTATAGGTCACTGCTAAGCCCTTTGTCTTCAATGAATAGAAGGAGTTGTTTGCTGTGAGCAATTTTACTTCTTCTGGGCGAAGTACACAGTTTCTCAGATGAGTATTACGTTTGCGCATTGAGGGTCCACAATCAGTTAGGATGTGCAGAGGCTCTGTTAAGGAACCGCTAAGGACAGTCGTTAGCATTTCGCAGCGGTTTGTTGTTGCTAATTATACGGCGAACGGCATCGTACGTCATGTAGGTGTGTCAGCGAGTAGTATAAATCGGCATGGTATATGTTCTAGCGCGCCCTGTATTCGATTACACTGTAAAAGCCAACTGGCTAACAGCATTAAAGATGCCTCGTTAAAAGGCAAAACATGTGTCATATAATCGACGATGATGTTTCTTTACTCACTAGTAGTAGTGGTGTTGGGGGACTAGGGTGACGGGAATAGTGCACGTAATTGAGAGGGCGGGGAGTGTTCTTTAAACTTAGATAGTTCATTTTTAACATAACATTTCCGCAAATTATCGTCTAATTTTATTAACTATCTTAAAAAGCAAAAGCCCACTTCAAAGAAATAATAATTATAGAATAATTTCACATTGTGAGGTGTGTGCTAAAAGAAGTATATTCTTTTTAATTGTTGAAGACTGCTTTCACTTTTTATTGAAATTCATTTCTTTAACCTTTTGAGTGGAATAAGGAATATCATAATAACAATATCGTCTTGTTACATTAAAAATTTCATCCCTTATCTTGCCACCCTTAGCGATGGGATTTTTTCTTATCCAAACATATATTTGACCACCCCTGAGGTATAATCAAAAAATAATCTTCGAAATCGGTTACAAAAAGACGACGATATCGTATAACAAAATTAAAAAAAAAAACATACAGTCGAATTGTAAACTTCTAATTTCAAAGTCTGTTAAAAAATTGATAAAAAGACACAAAAATACTTAATGAACTTACTGTTAAATCAATAGCTATTTGGAACTGCTTATCCTTAAGAAGCTGATGTCTTTGTTTAGTGACATCTACAGCACTTAGACACCACACTTGACCCACTGATGCCACAAATATTAAACCACGTTTACATCTGCAATTTTCACCGAAAAAATTAATACAACAATAAAAAATAACAAAAGGTTAATAGTTCATGTGAATGCGTTTAATTAAATAGATCATTATAATTTTTTCTCTAGACTCTGCACAGTATACAACCCTTTGGAAAAAGGGCCCCTTCCTAAAGTTTCAAACCCCTTACTCCCTAACCATTTTCGTCTCATATCTATCTTGCCCTTTCTTTCCAAAGTTTTAGAGGCCTGTTATCAGTCTGATTTTCGCTCCGGTCACGGCACCAACACTGCTTTGTTAAAAATTACTGAGGATATAAAACACGGAATGAATACCAAAAAAGTAACAGTGATGGTGTTAGTAGACTTTTCCAACACTTTTAACACAGTTGACACTATATACTCCTATGTATCCTGTCCCATCTTAAATTTGCTCCCTCGATCATGGAATTGTTTTCCTCTTATCTTCGCGACCGCCAACAATCAGTCCACGTAAGGCACTGATTGCTGGTTTCCAGTACTGCCTAGTGGTTAAGTATTGATTCTGGTGTGCCGCAAGGCGGAAATCTCCCATATTATTTTCAGTTTTCATTAACTATATATCCTCCGTCATTGATTGTTCGTACTATCTATATGCAGACGATCTCCAAATATATGTGCAATCGGATATCGATAATCTACACGATGCTATAATTTGAAAGCCATTTATGATTGGTCGTCGCGTTTATGACATTTCCGTCAATCCATTTAAATGTCAAGCAATGCTTGTTGGCAGCTCAAGAATATATTTTATAATGATAATGATAATTTGATCCCGTTCTCTGGCTGGGTGAAAAACCTGAGTCTATACATGGATAAAACGTTGAACTGAGGAAAAAAGCGTCACTGAGGTCAGCCGTAAAGTCACTGCTGAACTGCCTTACCTGAAGACATTACGAAAGCGCCAAACAATATAGCCTTCAAAATATTGGTCCGAGAACATCTTTCAAAAACAATGTTGTCAGCATAATGTCAATACTGCTACCTTTATCCAGACATATTATGTATGTATGTATGTATGTGTATATGTATTTATGTGTGTATATGTATATATGTATTAAGGATAATTGTTACATATGGATTATTATGTATATATATCTATATAAGTATCTGTATAAATTTATTACCTATATTTAGTTACCTAAGTCACCTGCCACTAATTTCTCACCACGCCATGGGTTGACTGGCAGAGAATGCTAACTGGCATTAAGTCCGCCCTTTGTAACCTTTTTATTGGTTAGAACAATAAAGCTTTTAAATTAATAAATATCTAATATTAAAGCTGATTACAGGTTGTTTAGGCGTTTTGTATTCATCATCAGTGGTAACTATGAATAATATAGACTTCTTTGTGTGGACTTGAGTGGAGGTTGACAGTAACCATCAGATTGATTCAAGCTGATGACCAGCTGGTGACTGACACACTATAACGTATACACTTAAGACTTTCACTGTCCAATTTTCAGACACTATAGTACGACAATAGCAATGAATATGTAGTACACGGGACACTGAAAGGGTTAAAATACGTAGTTACAATTTCCACTGATATTAGATTATTGATTGGTTTTCGATTATATTATACTTGACCTGGCGTCATACCCTGTTCGTGATCCATATGTTTTGTCATCAAAAAACGTACCTATACATCAGTCTTGCTTTATTGAGTTCGGGTAAAGTCTGTATAGACAGTGCGGGCTCTACAGTCTGTACTATCACTTGATCCGTCAGCAAACCCAGAATAAACGGTTCATCCCACACTGCAAAAAAGAAATAGGAATTTTTATATATTTTCTTCTTTATTTGAAATATTAGGTTCTTATCGTTCTTTTTAAATTACCTATGTTTCGATTTTGCTTTGTATTTCGTATTGTACGATTCGCAATAACTTTTTCGTATTACTTACAGAATTCCATATGCCTAAGCTTAAGTAAAATAAAGTATCTGTTTTGAGCATTTTTGTTATTTACCTTCATTATTTTTTTATAAAAATTCATTTTATTATAAAATATTGTAACATTCTCTTACAAAAATCTTTTAATAGTGAAGTGTGAGCAATGGCTGTCACTATAACTCTTAGAGTATACATAAGAAGCTTGTTTATAATACATACAGTATATCCCAAGCTATAACAGCATATAAAATATCTTGTATCACAAGTGGTAAAATTAAATATATATACATAGGTTTAAGCCGTCTGGAGCCGCTAGAGCCATAAATTGTCGACACATCCAGATTTCAATATCCATCGTAAAAAATATAAAATCGGTAAATAATTAAAAAAGTAATGTAATGAATTTTCATACTGATCCCTATTCATAACAAGTGAGCGACCCACCCTCCCCTTACTAAGCCACTGAGAGAAATATTTACCTGTCCTGTCCCCGCACAAAAGCACATTTGAAACTTAGTTAAATATATTATGTATAAGGTAATATGCTAACCTACAGCTACTGGTGCTTCAGTCCATTTGATAGTTTTCTTAATCTCAATATCTTTCGCCTCCTCAACTAGCACTGAAGTGTTGTCACGTCCAAGCAGGAAAGAGGTTTCTGAGTACTTTGCTATTGTAGGCTCAAGTGATCTGGAGCTACTCGTTGGAAACAGCTCTTTGGGTTTGCCTGAAGATAGCTAAAATAACAATAGCTCAAAATATTCTTACTTCTCTATATATTTTTTATATAATATATACACTAGTTTTGACACTCTAGGACAAGTGGGAGTGAAAACTCAGGAAAAGCATTGAGAATGGTAGAGCTTTTTGCTGCCTAAAAGTCCGTTCGGATTGGTTTGACACCCTTTAGCCTATTTCAACCACTAAGTCTCAGAGCACCCAGGTGTAATTACAGGCGATTGGGCACATTCCATCTTAGCTTAAAATGACAATGCCTCTAGTCTTTTTCATTTGAAGTTAGTTGCCGGTATCCACGAGTCAATTAACATTAGTTAAACTTTTAGCTTATTTTTCTCTATTTCATAGTGTTCATTCAAGTTTTGAATGATGTAAAAAATCCTTGATGTAAAAATTTGTAATATGATAAAATGATTAAAATTAAGGTGATAACCTTTTGTGTAAAAAATTGCAAACAATCCCCAGGAGAGATGATACATTTCTGCAAATGAACCAGTAATACTAAACACATAGTTGATAATGGGCCTATATTTTACGGAAAGGTTAAGTTATATCCTTGGTTTTACTTATTTCATTGAGGTGAAAAACAGTTTAGATTCAAATTTCGGGAAATAGCTACAAAACAGTCACATCAAAATACAAAATTCGATTTCTTATGATCACTTTTCTAATCTGGAACAATATCAGTTTAATTATTATTACATCCACTCATATTTAGAAAATTGTTTTTTGGCATCCATAATCATTTATTTATTAGTTCTTAAAAATTATATCTAATGTACAGAAATGAACACGTCAGTTTTTTTTTAAATTTATAAATGGATTTTAGCACATTGCCTTCTAGTAGACAAATGTGAGAATTATTTCTTAAGTATTACAAGCAATAATCGGCACTTTGATTGAGAAAATAGGGTAAAAAATTTTCAGAGGAAAATAATTGTAAAATATACTTTTTACCGCAATACTGACAGCCTTATTATATAAATAAGAAATCTATACATCCCTTCCAGTAGCTTGCCGTGTAATTTTGGCATAAGAGAATCCGTGGCCCCATTTAGTCCCATGGGTGACATAAGAGGAGACTATGGGAAATAACAAATAGGAACTTATGGCTTCCGATAGATGGCAGTGTACTATTTTGTTTAAGCCAGACATAATACGAGAGACTGGTGACTAGCAGCAGTTTTAAAGATTCGAGACATCTGGTAGGTACTGTATTCGTTAATCTGCCAGCCAAGAGTGACAATTAAGGCAAACTCCTGCATGCAACAAGAATCTCATGTCATGACACATCAAACCCAGTATACTTTAAAACCTCAAAATCAAAAAAGACTAAACCAGCCAAGTGCGAATCGGAATCGCGCATGAAGTATCGTCGTAATACACGTTTCTAGAAGGGGGGCCCCTTCTGATTTTTAATTTATTATAATTTTTATTATTTATTGTTATAGCGGCTGTCTAACTGTCTATCTATTATGGATCATGAGATACAACCCGCTGACAGACAGACAGACAGACGGACGGACGGACGGACAGACGGACAGCGGAGGCTTAGTAATAGGGTCCCATTGGTTACTCTTTGAGTACGGAACCCTAAAAATGAACAGCCAGTGTATGTTGCCCCCCTAATAATCTATAGAAACAAGAAATGATGAAGAGAGAAATGATTATGGAATCTATGCATGATAGATTGCATAACAAAGATACTAATGAATAATGAACTGAAGCTGGCCAAATAGTTCAAAGAACCAATAACCAATGGCAAAATAAAGATTCTTGAGTGGCAACCCTGTAAGCAGAGGGTAGTGTAGTAAGCTATAGCTTGCCATAAAGTTCAAAGAACTGAAAATCAGTTGCAAAAAAGGTTCTTGAGTCAGCCCTGTGAGCAGTGGCAATCTAACAATCTGGTAAATTTTGCAGTAGTGGATTAGGATAGTGCTACATGGCAGAGAAAGCCTATGTTCTGTAGTAGACTGGGAATGGGCTGTATATCATTATAGCCCATTCCCAGTATAGTGGTAATTTTATTTTCGTCACCCTCTGTTTTGCCTTTTCTTTTCTACTAACATACCATTTTTTTTCAAAAATACAAAAGACATTTAAGTACAAGCTGTCTTTTTACACTGAGGAAATTCATGTAGATTATTTACTACTAGTAACAGGATGAAAATGTACTTACATCAAACAGTGTATATTCTGCTTTGAATCCAACACATAAATATTCTTGTCCCCAAGCCATAACTTTTGGTACATCAGGTACAGTAAAATCAAACATATGCTGTTTAAACTCTCCATTTTTACCATAGTACAGCTGCAGTTTTCTTCTGACAGCAACACAAAGATGAACTACTGAATTTGATTCACCAGTCATGGATGTTGCAGACTAAAATTAAATGAGCACATGATAGTCTTTGTCTTTATAATAGTACTCTGTAAAAATATTAGGCCATTATTGAGCCCAATTGACACCTTAAGTGAATCCATCACTCAAATCCCTTCTTGTAAAATTGCTACTTCAGCTCAAGTAAGTTAAAATCTATAACAAGTCTACAGTAGGACAAGTATTTGAAATAGCCCAATAAAGAGAAAACATTACTTAGAAAAATAGTTATTAGACGCTAGCAACAAGGTATAATTTTACTATATCTGGAAATAAACATACACTAACCTTATTGTCTAATGCAAAGAGTGATGCACCCTTGGTTTGTGGAAAAGATTTGACAAATGGAAAATTAACACCATTTATGTCATATGTTGACAATAGATTATCTGTTAAGCATAGTAGGAGGTTATCTTCTGAAAATAAAAACACAACAGTAGCATTATATATCATTACACAATGTTATACAAATTAAATTAAATATCTATGCTAAACAGATTAGTTTTATACAATTACCTAAATATAGAGTGATTCTACTCACTTAGGGGTTGCTGCACAAAAGAATCAATCAGACCTTGTTACTAATAGATAGCAGTATACCTTAATTTTTTTTAGTTGTTAAATATTAGTAGTATAGTTGTAACACAAATGGCTCGGATCGAGTGGGGAAGGACCACACTCTCACAGAATACCAGCATAAAATAGCAGCTTAAATCTGCTGTGTTTCATATGGTGTGTGTAGAGAATCTGAGACCCTTTTTACTAGAAAGGAGGCATTCCATCTTAATTCTCACAGGTGACAACGCATGTGCATTTTGATTTCTAATCGAAGATAGATGCAGATGTTTATGGGCCACAGCAACCACTTACAATCAGGTGGACTGTGTGCTCATTTATCACCCTACTAATATAAAAAAAAGGAAACGGAATCAAAGATTCAAAATACTACTAGAGAAGTGCTATTACTTTTTATATTATACTACAATAGTCAATCTACCAAGTATAGAAATTAAAGCAAATCCTCCTACCATCCTATTATAGAAGAGGCTAACTTCTATAAGGAGATTGTTTCCACGCTTTGATTAGTGGACTCAATGCCAATGCTTATGCACACCAACAAATTATCTCATATATATCACATTATAAATGCAAAGCTTGTCAGCTCTGCATTTAATTTACATACCTGGTATCACTTCAATTTGTTGAATTGGTTTTTTGCTAAAATTTTTGCAATACCGAAGAATTTGCAACTCATATTTTTGATTACCATTTACTGTTGACAAGGAATACAGTATCAAATGGCCTTGTCTGGTCCCCAGCAACAAATTGCCATCTAAAAATTGATATAGGAAGAATATTTTAAGTGTTATCTTTCTATTTATAGTATGTAGTTTCTATAAAAATGTATACATTTATACATTTTGATGGTATATAACTCTAACTCACCGTACGCTGCAATTGCTTCTATTTGGACGGTTGCATTAAGCAAATGAGATACTTCATACGCTTCATGCATAGTTAACAAAAATAATATTACACTATTATCAAAAAGAAAAAGAATATTTTTTTGTTCTACTCTTACAAATAGCAATGGGCATAAAATGTGTCACAAAGTTTATAGAAAATATCGTTTATTTACATTATTAAATTTGATCATAAATTAATATAAAACATATATCATTATTGTTTTATGTTTTAATTTTACAAATTCAGAAGTTTATAATTATTACAAAAACAATTTGACAGTTTAACATTTGACAATTGACAGATGACAAAAGGGATGCGATTACGACCTGGACCTGAGATAAAAGAGCGATATTTCGTATCAACAAACTTGATTCTTTTAATCGATCTTGTGGCAACACCATCGTAGCGCCACAAGTTAAACGAATCTTAGTCTAAATCACGCTATCAAAGTTTCCAACCTTAGGGAACCTCAACTTAATGCTATCATATACGTCCTAAAGAAACTCCTCCAATCACTCTCAAGCTGGCTCGTCCAAGTCAGCCTATCATCAAGTCAAAAAATGGTTTATATGAATGACTTGTCTTACCTGGTAGGCAATAACCATGACATAGCTTTTTTGCTAATGATAATTTGATGGTTTTTAGAACTAAACAGAAATGATTAAAATATTATGACGAAATAAATAACGTTTTATCATATTTGGTACACCGGTTTAACGACATCAATTTCCTTTTAAACAATAATAAAACGAAACGTACTACATTCACGGTTTCAAATGTTAAATATGTTATGTTTCCCAGAATTCCATTTAATTATTCCATTTATCTTTTCGAGAGCATATGCTGTGAAAGAGATTAGAAGCCTTACATGCGTTAAAAAAGATTTGTTTATTTTAGTTATTTTCATAGCATGAGGAATGTCGTAAGGAATCATGCTATAGGACAGTATGACTGACACCCAATCTTTTATTTGCACAAGAGACTTTAAAGAGCAATATTGTAGCCTAAGTCCGAAGAAGACCCTTAAAAATCAATTGAAATTAAGATATTTTTGATTCAATAGCCTCGGGAACCATCTCTGGAAGGAATCGATGTTCTTTATCGAGGATTTGTGGTCTGTCGAATCTGATGTAGTGACGAAGGTGATCCTGTACTTGTTCACAGACTGCAGATTTCCCAGAGACTTCCTGGAGACTGGCTCTACCACGTTTTAATGAATGAAAATATAAATATATCCCTTTTGTATTTTGTTGAAATGATTAAATTACACACGTCTTTTTTTTTTTTGTTCCTAACCTGTTAACTTCCAGAACCCAAACGAACAGTTTCTATAAGTAGATCATTAGCAAAACAATGTAAAAAATTCACGTGTCAATGGATTAACTTGCATGCTTAAGATTCTATAATTAATTAAATTAAATTTCAAGACAAGGTTGGCTACATATTGAAACGAGCTTCCATTATAACATACTTCCAGCCGCCGAAGAAAAGTCAATTTTTACATCCGTCAAGTGTCATATCCCTCTACAAGATGCAGAAGTGTACAAGCTGGATTGTGAATGTGGTCTCTCTTACGTAGGACAAACACAAAGATTTATAAAAACCAGCGTGAAAGAACATATAGCTGACTTGAAGCACCGATGTTCCGGGAAGTCTGCAGTGTGTGAACATGTTCAAGATCGTCCCCGCCATTACATTAGATTTGATAGACCACAAATTTTCGCAAAACAACACCAATTCCTACCAAGGATGAATCGCGACGCTATTAAAATTAAAATACATCCTAATTACAATAGAGAAGATGGATGGGTTCTGCCATCTGCTTGGGATGCTGTAATTATAAAATTAAATGCAAACCCAAGCATACCACTGCAAGACTTCAAGATACTGTAAGCTCATTCTGCGTAGAACGGACCAAAAATTAATATTCAAAAACTGAAGGTAGCCGGGCTAACTATTATATTGGGACATCAAACACCTCATTTCCCTCGTGACCATGGGTGCTGTAAAGCACCCGAAACGTCGGGTATTAAAAAGTTAAATTAAACACGATAAAATCCGTAAAAAATAGTTTTATTTAATGTGTAGTCTTCGGGTAAATATAGGAAATCATTATACTATATGCTCGTTCTGCGTAGATTTGACCAAAAATTAATTTAAACTGAAGGTAGCCGTAGTTAGCTTGACGTTGGGACGTCAAGCACCTCAGTCCCCTGTGACCATAGGTGCTGTTAAGTATTAAAAACGTCAGGAATTTAAAACAAGTTACTATACGCGATAAAATCCGTAAAACTTAGTTTCATTGAAATAGATTTTTATTCTTTAACATAATATATATAAACACATATACAAATACTACTTACCATTAGTTGAATGCACTCAATTACAAAGATTTTTTCAGAAGTTATAGATATTTTTTTTAAATAAAGCTGGACTTTAACTTAGACTTAAATCGATTAAAGAATCGATGATTTTAGGAAAAATAGACATCCTTATTTTAATGTTTTTAATTACTTAAAGGCATAGGGATCTTTGTCCACGCAGTTTATTTTGACATATTACAGTCATGCTTTCCAAATTATATTGTGTATGAGTTTTAAGAGATTTTTTTGACTAATTTCTATGACATCTTGAATTCATAATAATGAAATTCTTTAAATTGATATTATTAAGTAATTTATTCAAAAGTACCGACCAGCCCCGGATTTGTTCAGATAGGATCTATTAATGTTTCGTTATTTAGTTTTAAGATAAATATAATTTCTTTATGAATTTTCAAAGTATTGCGGATAAAATACAGCCCAGATCCCTCCTGACAATGCTCTTCTGTTCGAAAAGTTTCATCATAATCGGTCCATCCATTCCGTAGAGTAGCCCGGATAGACAGACAAAATTTTAAAAATATTTATAAATAACACTCTGACCTTATTTTTTTCTTTTTCATTATCGCTATCATCACACCACTACACTAGGATGTTGTCCTATATCGATATCATGGAGCCATTTTACATACATAAAGTGCACAAGGACAAACCCGGAACAAATAGTTGAACCAAGCGCCGCGCCGTAGGTATGGGCAAGGGAAAAATTGTCCATATATGTCTAATCGATATTTTTAAACAGTATCGATATAAATCGCGTAATAAATATCGATATCGGCATCATTTGCATGATGTAAGGATAAAGCCCAAGCCCAAAATTCAACATCACTGACGGTTGGACGACAAAAAACTACAACCACACATGAATGCTTTCGTAGCTCCTTTTGTTGTTTTTTGTTTTGCCCTTCAAAACAACATTTTAAAATATATAGAAATTGGTACAAATTCGATACTCTAAAATAAAAATCGATATATCGATATTTTTTGCTCAAGCCTAGCGTAACTATATACCATAACTAATTTTTAAGCCACTGCCACGGAGCTGTCAATCAGTCAAATCATCTTAATAGGAGCCAGTTATTTCAATATTACAGACATATACTTTGATTTTATTTATTTGTATAGTTACTATTTTTTATGGTTGTGCTGAATTTCCTCCCATATTTTTTATTTCGAAATTTCTGTAAAAGGTTTAATTTGGCTAAAAATAAACGAAAACTTTATTAAATAGGAAACAAATTACTATACCACAGCCACACTCATTCATTCCAATGTAGCTAATAGTTTCCGTATATACACTCTTATCTATGGCTAATAGTATGAGTTAAGTCCGGACATAGACTTAGGACCGACACACAGTGGAAAATAATGGAAACAATTCCAGCCACGCGTCATTTTATGAAGTAGGGTCACAATTTTTTGTTAATCTCTTTAAAATGTCATATATTTAAAGCTACAGGTGCGGAAATTATGAAGTTTATCAGTGTTTTTTAGTAATCCAGAAAAAAATCATACGTCTAAGCTAATTTACAACCTTCAACCCACCTAACCCTGGGTACAGCGAGCTAGCTCGGCATTTTTCAAAAACCAAAAACAGGCTAACCTACCTAACCCTGGGAACTTTGGGTGGTTTTCAGAGGAAGACATTATTAAATTGAATCGGATCAGTCTCGACTCTTAATATGTATTTTTGGGCTATGAAATACACCCTTTTTACCTAAACCCGAATTATTTTTCGGTTGGGAAGATGTTTTTCAAGCTACGGACACGAAATCTGGAAGCTACGGCAGAATTTAACTAGCCATATAGATATACTTTATGGCTAGTATAATACTATACTATAAATAATAATCGTTTGAACTGCTTTTAGTTATCTCTACTGATATAGTTAGATTCAAGCCACTTTTCTATCTCTACTGATATAGTTAGATTCAAGCCCCGTCAAGGTAGCAGTCTTTAAAGAGTTTTTTTTGTTTTTCCTTGTTTTTTTTTTAAAATATTTTAAATTGATTTTTTTTCGTTTCTTTTATGGCTTTTTTGTTGTTATTTAAATTGAAAAATACCGAGCTAACTCGCTGTACCCAGGGTTAGGTAGGTTGTGGGTTAAATTAGCTTAGACGTATGATGTTTTTCTGGATTACTAAAAAAACAGTGATAAACTTCATAATTTCCGCACCTGTAGCTTTAAATATATGACATTTTACAGAGATTAACAAAAAATTGTGACCCTACCTCATAAAATGACGCGTGGCTGGAATTGTTTCCATTATTTTCCACTGTGCGACAATGCGCAAAGGAGAAGAAAATTCCTTATGGCAATAATATAAGATAGAAAAGGATACCAAATCTCATCACTCTGTAACCTGAAACCGATTTTGAATGACAGGTCGGCACAAGTCGGCATACAAGAAATAAGCTATACTTTGTAATTTTTAGTGTAATAGTGGTTATCAGTAAGTACCTTTTTTCCAAAATGATTACTTTTCCGTGAGTAAATGTGGTGTTTATAATAGAAATAATCCTGATGATTGCACATTTCACTGGTAAATTCTCAAGACGTCAGAATCAGTAATGGAATCAGTTCGGTTATTTGTACAAATTTCCAAACTGATTCTTGGGGAGTTTTTTGGAACGAAGTTCCTTATCGGTCGGTACGGATTAGGCGGATGGGAGCTAAGCGACAAAATGTGTAAGATTTTTTTGTCACTACCCCATGTGTTATGGTGTATTTTATTTTAAATAACGCTTCATTTTAATAGACTCTAGTCATACATTTATTTGTATTTGTTAATCAATAATATAATACATTTATCAATAAATAAGAAGGAACTTCGTTCCAACCAAGTGTTCCACGACACTCACGCATTTTTTTAAAGTTTATCGGTATAACCTGGGATTTATTGAATTTGAATTAAAATCCAACAAAAGGCAGTTAGGTTCAGCTTATTTCCAGGAACATGTTATCTGAACTAGAACTATCATGGTAAAGATTCAGTTAATTTTTGAAGCTATTCAATTTCGTGCACTAAGCTATATTTTTTAAATCTTTTTATCATTTCCTTAACAATTATTTTTCGATAGTCGTAAGTAAAATGTACATCACTAGCTAATGCAACACAATGTCAAATCAAAATTAGTCACGCGCGTGGACTTAGTATCTTAATTTTCTATCCTTCGAACCCCGTCGGCACCAATGAAATTGTTAATTGCAATTTTAAGTGCTGATATACCACGTGCTCGGCGGCGAAGGGAAACATCGTGAGGAAACCTGCATGTCTCAGAAATGGGAAAAAAATATTCGAAGACCTGTGAAGTTCACCAACACGCATTGGGGTAGCGTGGCGGATATTTCCTTGCCCTACAACCCTCTCTGAAATGAGGGGAAGCCTGTGCCCAGCAGTGGGACGTATATAGGCTGTAACAGTGGTAGAGCCACGCGGTAGCTTTTGCTGTTGCACGGATGCGCCGGCTCGAACCGGGGTGGTACCACGACCTCACAGAATACCAGCGTTTTACCTCTGCGTTTCGTTTGGTAAGTGCAGGTGGCCGGAGGCCCTTTTTACTGGAAATGAGGCATTCCATCTTAGTCCTCACGGGTAACAACTAACAACGCATCTTCATTTTGATTTGTAATAGAGGATAGATGTAGATGTCTATGGGCCGCAGCAACCACTTACCATCAGGTGGACTGTGTGCTCGTTTGTCACCCTTATCCTATAAAAAAAAACTTTAACTTTTACGACAGTTAGTTTTTAGGCAAATACGATATAAAGTTTTTTCTTCTTTATTATAGTCCTTGGTATTGCGGTTAGATCACAATAATTCTGCCACGATATAAAGGGTATGTTCCAATATATACTGTAAGGTGTGGTCCAGTATACGAGGTCTGTTCTAAAAGTATCGCCTATTTTGAATTTCCACGGGTTACGTATATTTAATTTTAGATTTTTTTGTTGCCTTATGTTGGTACTCATGTCCCTTACTAAGAACTAGTTTCACCATACTCTGTTAGTTAGTTTTAACATCCAATTAAATAGATAACAGCCCGTTAGGCGTGGTGAGTGTTTCACCACGTACTAACGAATGGTTAATTCTCTTAACAAGGCGTTAAAGTTAATTACTGCTCCAAAGGTCCGTTAATTAACGGCTGTCAATTTTTTGTCAGTTGGTCAAATAAAATGGAAGCGGCGTATAATTTTATTTTTGAACACGAAAATGATGATATTTTAGAAAATTTAGAACTTTTAGATAATATTGTTCGACGTCCTAAGACATATAAAGAGCGACGTGATTATTTTGAAGAATATGACGATGTAGATTTTAGGACAAGGTTTCGTTTATCGAAAGAATCTTGTTTGGATGTTTTGCAAATGATTGAAGATAAACTTGAATATCCATCAAATCGGTGAGTACCTACTTTAACATTGCCTTATTTTGTAAATTGTATTAAAATTATGTCTATGTTTTGTTATTTAGTACAACTTTTTACGTAAGGTGTTTAATATTAGTTATTAAAAATGTTCGGATGCTAATTCTGCCGTGCCAATTGAAAACGCAGTAAAAATATTTTTGATAAATTGAGTTATATATAGAGTTGGATAGAGTTCATCACGAAGACTAAAATATTTAATAACTCGATTTATCCAAAAACCTTCCTTACTTTATTTCTAATTGACACAGCAGAATTGTAACAATTTAAAAATTCACACAGTGTTTCCACTTGTAATAGGATCACTTCATCATCTTTACCGTGAATGTTACACAAAGCATCAAGAGAATAATGATATGTATGACGGGCATATATGAAACTAACCTAAAATGTTGTTTGCTTACAGAAACAAGTCGATATCGCCAATAAACCAACTTCTTCTAACTTTGAGATATTATGCCACTGGTTCACAACAAATAACTATGGGTGATTACTGTGGAATGAGCAAATCCACTTCTCACAGAATTATACACCGAGTTACTGTGGCTATAGCGTCACTCGGTCGCCAGTTTATAAAATTTCCTGCCTCAGAAGAAGAAGTAAAAAAAGAACAATTACAATTTTATAACATAGCACGCTTTCCTAAGGCACTGGGTGCTCTGGATTGTACACATATACGTATTCGTTCTCCTGGTGGGGAAAATGGAGAACATTTTAGAAATAGAAAAGGCTACATGTCTATAAATGTGCAAGCAATAGGAAATGCTAACTTGGAAATTTTAGATTTGGTTGAGAGATGGCCAGGAAGTAACCAAGATCAAACTATTTGGAACGGATCATACAGAAACACTATATTTGAAAGTGGTCAATATGGTGATGCCTTTCTTTTAGCAGACAGTGGTTACATGAACCGACCATACATTATGATGCCACTGCAGAATCCATTAACCCCAGAGGAGAGATTGTACAATGAATCACAAATAAGAAGTAGGAACCCCATTGAACGCCTGTTTGGAATATGGAAACGTCGATTCCCAGTACTTGCATTAGGTATACAAGTACAGTTGAAAAATTGCCTTCCTATAATTGTTGCTACGGCTGTGTTGCACAACATCTTAATAAAAGCAAAAGAAGAGCTGCCATCTGATGATCCAGAAATACAACTTCCTGCCCCTTGGGACGATTTAATTGAACAAGGGCATATTAGCGAGCACAGACATAATGATAACATAAACAGAGATATAAATCCTGTGCGCAGAAGTCTTATTAATAATTACTTCAGAAGTTTGCATTTACAATCATTATAAATAAAAGTCATTTTACAGTGTAACCTAATTTTTATTTTTTGCCAAAGATAACTGTAACTCTAATAGTTCAGTTTTTAATCTTTCTTGTTTAAGTTGCTCGTCGAGCAATAAATTTTTCTTTTCTGCCTCAATTTCTACATTTTTTTTCAAAATTTCTACTAGCTCCAACTTGCTAGCCAGTAAATTGTCAGCCATTGAAGCCCTTGGTCTTCTCCTGTGAAGCCATGTCGGACTCCCCTTTTTTTTTGTAATCAGTGCATCTGACATTTTGGTTTTTAGTGCAGCTGGAGACCAACCATGCCAAATATTATCCTTATCCTAAAACAAAAAGTATGTTTATTATATTCAGTTCAAACTTCATTCATGTGATAAAATCTACATAAGCAGTTTGAAATGGCATTGCACAATCCTGTACCAATAACAGTTGGCGATGAAATAGTATATTTGTGATGAGATTGGTACCTGAACTTCACAACGACTTCTGCCATCAATTGCTTCCTTATTTAAACCCTCTGATTCAGCCAAGGAGCTATTCAGTCCCGAGGAACCAGCTTGGTCAATCTGAAATAAAATAAATATTAAAAATAAAATCTATCTGTATTGAAATACATTTATATATTATATCTTAAAACAAAGTCTATTTGAGTTAATCTGAAAATCTACTTTCAATTTGTTTTAGTTGTTAAGTAGGTAGTTAAAGTCATCCATGTAAAGGTGCTATAATAAGTTAATTTAAGATTGTGACTACTTAGTGGTATCTAAGGGTATTTTATGTACATATTTTGTGTTGAAATATACACTATTAATATGCTGACTCTCCGCTAGGAGTAAAAGTATTCTGTGATGCTGACAAGGTCGGCCATTTTGAATGTTTAGTTCATTTTTGACAGCTTGTTGTTGACAGTTTTGCTTGGATGTGTTTTGGCTCGTCTTCAATTTTTGCCTATTCCAAAAAATGGATCAAAGTATCTGTATTAAATTCTGTATGAAAAACAAAATAAAGTGCGCGGACGCATTCCGAATGTTATCTGTGGCATATGGTGAAGAAACCATGGACCAAAGCAACGTTTATCGGTGGTACAATATGTTCTCAGAGGGCCGAGAAGATCTGAACGACGAACAGCGTGACGGACGCCCGAGCACGTCAACAACAGACGATAACATTGATAAAGTGAAGAAAATATTATTGGCCAATCGTCGAATCACCGTTAGAGAAGTTGCTGAGGACCTACACATATCGATTGGCTCGTGCCATTCGATTGTTAGTAATGATTTGGGCATGAGTCGGGTCGCCGCGAAAGTCGTGCCAAAATTGCTCAATTTCGACCAAAAACAGATTCGCGTTAACATTGCTCAGGAGATGTTGGACTCGGTCCGTGACGACTCAAATGTGCTCCAGAGGGCCATAAGTGATGACGAATCATGGATTTTGTTTATGACGTGGAAACCAAAGCTCAATCATCCCAATGGAAGCTGCCGCATGAGCCAAGACCGAAAAAGCGCGCCAAATTCGGTCGAACATGAAGGTTTTGCTTTCAGTTTTCTTCGATTGCAGAGGCGTGGCGCATCATGACTTCTTGCCACAGGGTAATACGGTCAATAAGGAATATTACCTGCAAGTTATGCGCAATTTGCGTGAAGCCATCCGTCAGAAACACCCGGATTTTTGAAAGAACAAAATCTGGCTTTTGCACCATGATAACGCCCCTGCTCACACATCGTTGTTTGTGCGCGAATATTCATCATCCAAAAAAGAACACAGTAATGGTCTCACAGCCACCGTATTCCGCAGACCTGGCCCCCTGTGAACTTTTTGTGACGCTACGCCACGATCGTGGAGGTAAAGACGGCATCGAAGGAGGAGGTGAAGAAGATCACAAAAAATGTTTTTTTTTAAGTGCTTCGAGGATTGGAAAAAACGTTGGCACAAGTGCATTATATCCGAGGGGGATTACTTTGAAGGAGACAAAATAGATATTCATGAATAAATAAAAACTTCTTAAAAAAATACAAAATTCGCAATACTTTTTGAACAGACCTCGTATACTGTCATGCCATAGACTTATAATAGTATACTCGTATTCTAAGTCTATGCTGTCATCCCCATTTTTCGACACTGTTTCCAAATTAAAATATTAATTTATCATGTACACGTTTTCAGCTCAACAAGAAAAAATATTATGTTGTTGCTTTTAAAACATAATATTATTGTTTATTATATAACAATATTAATTAATAATAATCATTTGTGGAAGCTGTTAAATCTGTAGAACTCTAGATGCAGTTATGTTTTTTGATCACGTGATCAAAGTACTGAGAGCACCTTACCTCGTAAGTGCCAGTACTCACAATACAAGTGGTAAAATTAAAAAAAAAGTACAACCGACTAACATAAACTATTAAAGAAAACTGAAAAACTACTGTTCAGACCTTGATCAAATTAATAGGGGACCGCATGAGAAGCAACAGTTCCTTTTCGAAGTTGATTGAAAATGGCGGCGATTTAGGACGTCATATATTTCCCTAGGGTACTGCGGCAGTATATTGGCAGTCCATAACGGAGAACTGAGCAGTGCCCGCAATGTATGTACTTAGTCGGATCATAAGTTCTGTCAAAAACTTTTTATAAAATTAGAAACATTTTTTGATAATTATATAGAAATTATATAAGAAATGAAAGGTAATTTAATTTAGAATACAATTTTATTTAAATTATTCAAAATGCCCTCACCTATTTTGAATACATGCCCTTAAGGCGTAGGTTGAGCAAAATGTCGCGCTAGTCGTTATTTGTGCGGTTTTTAGGAGCTATCTACTTTTTATTTAAAAGATATATCAACAAATAAAAAACACATTATATTTCTACATAATCTTGATTTCATAAGAGCTATATCCAATTTTTTTTAACGGAATAAATATTAATATAATCTCCTTACAACGCAACCACATAAATGTGAAATTTTTATTGATAACATGCATCTCCTCGTAAAGTAAGTATTATTTTATTTTGCGATTTACACCAATGGATTGGCAATTTATTAATGAACATTTCTATTATAAATTTTTTTCAAAAGACCAAAATTTGATTTTATTAAGAAATTATTTTAAAATCTGGGCGTATTCACTGCCCACGGACTTGCTGGAGTCAGTGAGCGCTGAGCTCTTCGACGTGAAGCCCGTGTCGTTAGAGCGTCGGCCAGCGCATACGCTCACGTCATATCAGTCGATAATATTATTACTTATTAGGTTATTTATAGGTAGTATTATTTGTTTGTTTTGGGTATAATTTTTCGTATTAGTTATACATATATTTGTTGTGTTTTTTACTGCGCGATGAAGCTTTTTACGTGTATTTTCTTTGAAGTAAATGCAAATAAAAAAATGAGCACCATTAGCATGTAAGGTTCGAATCCATAATTAACATTTCGACAAATATTATAATTTACACTATAAAAGGCTAATTCAATATTATCAGTATAGTATACAGTTAAAAATAATCCTAATACCCAACCACAATATCTTATTAGGTATAGTACTGCCTCGTTGGTCTAGTGGTTGTAGTAGTGCGACTGCTGATCATGAGGGTTCGAATCCTGGGTCGGACCAAAAAGTCAGTTATGAGTTTTTCATTTATGTTCTAAGTTATAATTAGTATTACTAAGTTATAGTTTTTTGCTTAAATATAGTATATTATTTATTGCTTGTTTTATCTTCTTTTTCAAAAAATAATTGAGTACATAAGGTGTTCTATACTTATAATTCGGTAAAAGTATCTAAGTAGGTACTAATATACCTACTTTTTGATTTTAAAAAAATCAAAAAGTAGGTATATTTAAATTTTATACTAAAAAATTTTAAAACTAAATTTAACTAAAAAGACTAAACTGACCATTTAAAAAATAACTCAAAACAGGACATGGGTTTATTTATACTCTAAAAACTATAACTTTATACAATTAGTGTTCGCTATAAAATTATATTCGGTATAGACGGTAATTTATGTAGTGTAGAGTAGAAGGAGAACCATCTTATAAGGTGCGAAAGTTGAAAAAGTGTCCCAATATATACTGAAAATAGAGGTTCCAAAACCTACCACAATAGCGCTGGCGTCTGAAAAACTACGATATGAGTATAGCTGTTGTAGACGGAGTGAAGTCAACTGAATTAAAATATTTAAAAAATTTCATGACTAGAGTATTTAGTAAAATGCGAGTATACAAAACCTCAACTATTTACGTAGTACAAAACCAAGCGGATTGGTCAGTCCTTGTTTATTTCTCCATCTTATTGTAATGAATTTTGGCGCTTTTTTTTAATTTATCCTATGCAGCGCCACCCTTATTGGACGCGGTTTTAGGGACACTTTTCATATACAGAGATGGTCCTCCTTCTACTCTACACTCCATACGGTAATTATTACATGCAACATATTTTTTTTAAATTATTAATTACATTTGTCAGTGGATTAAATTTGCTTTAATAAAGTTTGTGATGATTTTAAATAAGAATAAAATTCTGCTCAAGTTTTTCTATTGTTATTTTTGTTAACAACAACCTTTAGAACTGGAACCGTAAGTGTTTCTTTCAGATGTCCACAATTTATTCAAAACAAAAAAAATACTCTTTCTACCGGAGCATTTGTACCAGGTAGACATAAAATATATTCGATTAAAAAAAATTATGTTGAAGATTGTTGACTTTGAATACTTCCATTCAACGAGTTACGGGACAATTTTGTGTCCCGGAGCTTTGTTTGGGGACAATGGGACAGGTGACCGAGAAAAGAGACAGTCCCGTTCAAAACGGGACGTATGGTCACTTTAGCTATAACCCGGCGACAGCTCCGTGGCTTAGCAATCAGTTGTTGCGATGGGGGCCGCGGGTTCGAATCCCGCACGGAACAAGTATTTGTATGGCCTACAAATAATTGTTCCGGGTCTAGATGTTTGTCCTTGTGCAATTTATGTTTGTAAACTGCCTCCACGACATAGGAGAAAATCCTAGTGTGGGGGTAACGTTTTTTTACAAATTGAAAGATTTAGACCTTTATTAAAGTTACCCTTATGTATAAATAAATATAATTACGTATGTAGAAATAAAATTGATTTTCATCCTCATCAATCATTGGGGTGAGGATAATGTCTGCCAGCATAAGTAATAAGCAGGCTAAGTTACAAGGTGCTCAGTTCAAAAATTAGTAGGTAGGTATGTTACTTTTCAATACGTGACACGTAAAAATTAACAATAATCAAAAACACATCTGCGAAACATCCTATTTATTTATTTATTCTTTATTGCACCAAATATTTGTACAAAAGACGAGCTATCTATTTATTTACCTATAGTGAATAGGTATCTTTTAAACTCACAACTTTCAATGCTTCATTTTTAATATATAATTAATTATAAAATTTCATAATTAGATAATATATGAAAATACATAATTCTAATATAATGCAACTAATATACCGAATAAAGAAATTAAAATACATTTATCGTTGTACGCTGTGTGTATTTCCATAAATTAGTTTATTGATGTTGAAAAAATAATACTACGTTCGTACCTACAATAGGTGGCGTCTTACATATTTCATAAGCAATATATTGAAGCGAGCGGCGCGCCGCCGGCCAAATGCTCAAGGTCGTTCGCATGGAGTAGCCCCTTAATCGACGCCGCCAATCATCAATCGCAGCACGCACCACATTCATATCTATTTCTGTCGCAGCTTAAGCCAAAGTGCTTGCAGAGATTACAAATTCTGATGAGATTTAGCGCAGACTTTCTCCTCCTTATGTTGCCATATCTTATAATCCAGTGGATTTAAATCTGGACTAGAAGAGGGCCAGTCTTCCTCAGAGATCCAATAAAGTCAATTCCACGGGCGGTCAATCAGTTTTGCATGCTTCGTGCCCTATGAGCTGATGCAGAGTCCTGTTGGAATATCCAATGTCTGTTTTTGAATATTGTTTAAGAAAGAGGTTCCACTATGTTTGTTAGGACGATATTTTGGTACACCTCGGCCTGAATGTGAGACTCCAAGCCAAACCATGAGTGACGATGGATAATGTTCTCGTTGAACTATCGGAATACGTATGCTGGCTTCTTCACTGCTGATACACCTTATCATTTTGTTTATTATAACTTTCTTCGATGTTCCAAATATTTTCATCCGAAAACAAAATTTCATTTTTTTCCCGCTCGTTCAAAAAATGTCCGTTCTTCTTACGATAAGCTCGTAGTCCTAGGTCTTCATTGATCACTCTTTTGACCGTGGTCCTTCTTAGGCCCATCTGAAGAGCTAAGATTTTTTGTTTACGGACAGGATTTCGTTGGATTCGCGCCTTCACTGCTTTGATGATCGCGGGTGTCCTAAATGTACGAGGTCGGCCTGTCCTCTTACGATATTCGAAGCTTGAAACTTCAGTGAATCGTTTGATAGTGCGATAAACAAATCGTAGGGTTATTTTTAATTTTTGTAAAATATTAAAAATCTCTTTTGGCGCGTAACCACAGCGGTGCAACGCGATTACCGCTACTCTATCTTCTTTTTTCGACCACTCTATATTTGAAAATGAATGTCTTTTTTATTTTCGGCAAGCGCAAACATTACATTTTTAAAATTAGTGAATTTCATCTAGCCAGTATTCAAAAATTTTAAATAATATAAGGTTTTAACAGGACTTATGACCCGACTAAGTATATCGCAACATACCCAAAGTTATACATCTATTATCTGAAACTTCAAATCACGTTGACAAAGTGCGCACATAAATAATGACAGCGTTTTCTTAGCCCACCTCCGCAGCCCCCGCTGCTGTACTCACCCCCGCAGCTCCCGCTGCTGCCTCTGCCCCCACGGCCCCCCCCCCTTCCAAGCCAGCATCTCGTTGCGCCCCCATCCCCGCCTAAAAACAGGCCTGCCCCCTGTCTTCCTCAGAGACAAGGGCCAATTCACTAGACTTTCCAAAACCTGTTACGACAGGTATA